TATTATAAATATATATATATATATATATATATATATATATATATATATATATATATTCAGAGATGTGTAACAGATTATTTTTACAATCAGCTTCTGCAAAGTAGACACACATGTATCTGATTAATGTATGTGGATTTCAGTGAAAACAAAAACGAAAAGAAAAAAATGGAAGAAAATTGAAAGAAATGAAGGTGGAAGAAAACCAGCAGAGTGAAAAGCAAGGAAGAAGACTAATCAGTGACCAGGACCCTTTTTGCTGGGTCCAGAAGCTAGTTTATACGCCAAACTTCGAGCAAATTGACGAGTTATGGAGTTGTTAGAAGAAACAGAAAATGTTGCCATTTCAACATACGAAGCTTCTCCTTTCAAATCCTCACAACCGTCACCTAAAGGTGTCTCTGATCGAAGGACTCTTCCATGCACAAACCAGATTTGTGATGACGCCACAAGCACTGTCATAACCATCACAATCCAAACACTCTTCTTCATCTGCATCTTTTCTTGGTTTTTCCGAACAGTACTATTTTCTTTTGAGTACTTATAAACTTCTTTCTCTAAGAGCAACGAAAAATGTTACAGTGTGTGAAGTTGTTGTTGCTCTAGCTGAGTTATAGCTTGTGATGCTCTACATATATTTATATAGAGAAAGGTTTCTGGTAGAGACGGTGAAGCTGTTTCCAAGTGGGTCCTTAAAAGCTGCAAGCTGATTTGACTTTAGCCAAATTCTTATGTATTTCGTGGGATTTTCATTTGAAAATTTGTGTAGGGTTAATTATGGCTTGCCGCAAACGCTCCACGTGCAGAGAATGAATTGGTTGCTTTGAATATTCTTCCCATATTCATGAATTTTGACTTTCTACTGTTACTCATGCCACTCCTTAAATTCTGACAACCAAGAAAAAGGAACAGATTATGGATTAAACCTACAAAGTTAACTTGTGAGATTGAAGTAAATGGAGAATCATGACATGTTGAACCAATTGTTTCACACGGTTTTTGCGATTCTATGTTGTTGTGTATGTGTACAATCTGGTACGCGTTGCATGCTTACTTTTGATTTTTAAAATGTTTTGGTGTTCCCTTTTTACATGTCACGATAGTTGAAAAGCAGTGAGAGGAAGATGGATTTGAAATTTGGTGCCTTTGGAAAAGGCATACACAGGTTTTGTTGAACTGTCACCTTCTTTGAGTTCACGGCGGTGCATCAATTTAGATTTTCTGCTCTATTTTTAGTCTTAATTAGTTTATTTTGTATCATTAAAATATTCATAGACATAACGTTTTATAATATATGATTTTTTTTAATATATTAATCGTCGTTATATTTGGAAAGAATAGCAAAAAGATAGTATTATTGAGTATAAATGAAGTAACAGTAGAATAACACATATTTACATTCACTTACATTCATTTAAAACATATTATAAGAATACAATGATTATAAAATAATAATTTTTTATATTTTTAAGAAGAATAAAAGAATAAAAAATAGTATTGAATTAATGAAAAAAATTTGTATGTCAAAAATATGATTTTTAAAATTTGTGATAATTTCAAAAAAGACAAAAAGAATGCACAAACCAAGTATTGCAAATTTATCGGATCAGAATTCTCGTGGCTCAAGAGAATGTGTGAAACTCAAGTTTTGTTTTGTTTGCTAAATATAAATTTAAGACGAGTAAAGATGTAAAAGTTAAATATTTAAATAAAAATGAGAAAATTAAATAATTTATTAGAAAAAAATCATAAATCTATTTGTCTCACTATTTAAAATTACAAATAATATTAATTATTTATGTATGAATTTTTCTTCTAATGTAATTATGATTTGTTAGACACAATATATTCTTTCTCCACGAATTAAGCCTCGTGAGTCACGATCACCACATGTGTGAAGAAACCATATTTAGAAAAAAGAAATCTTTCACAATAAAAAAATTACCCATTTATCTATACGAGGAAAGTAGAAAAGTTGAGCTTCTATGTTGAATCCAATCATTTCACTTTTCGTAAATTTTGGATTTAAGATTGAATCTATTGGCTAATCAAATCTTCATTTATCTAATCAAATTACATTAAAAATAGTTGTAGAAATTTTGCAATATTAAAATTCTCCACCTACCACTCCAACTTCTTTGTTTTTATTAAAAGAATAATAAAAAACTAGCCAATGTAGCTTCCTTCGATTTTTTTATTCTTCTTAAGATATTAGTCGTAAGAAAACTGTATATGGATATATATATTAATTTTTTATATATACGTATAAAATAGTAATTGAAAAAGACATACACCTTGTTGTTTATTGGTATTACATTAAATAATTAATGTTTTTTCTACTTTGGAAACATTAGTAAAGAAAATAAAACAAAGCATATCCAGTAAACGAGTTCAAGGGATGTAGTTTTCTAATGTAGAGAAAAGTATTTTATGATATCGTGAACCACTGGCCAAAGGAAGAACAAATTCATCTCTTAGTTTTTTTTAGTCAAAATCCCATTCTTGTTTTCACGCGTTGCATATTGATTATATTGATGTACACTTCACAACAATTTCCTATTTTAGATTTCTTTACGGCTTTCTTTTTGTTTTAACTTGGACATAAGAAATATTTTCAATTTATCTTTTCTAAAAACACTATATATGCATTTTTAAGGTTTTTTTTTTACGCTATTAGATTCTCTAATTAAAAATATACTTTTTCCTCACTCTTCTAAAATAATAAAGTTTAGTAGCACAAATGTGTATACATAATTAGAATAAACTTCAATGGTAATTGAATAAAGAATAAAAAAAACGTATCTAAATTTTGTTCAACGGAAAAAGTCATTTACAAAATTCAGAGATAGCACTTGCATCCATGGATCACGTGCAAAAGAAATTAATTGTTATTTGACTCTCAAACTTCAAAAAAGTATGAGATAGAGGAATTCAGGATGCAAAATACGAAATAGAGAGACTGAAATTTGTCATAACGCATTAGTAGAGATAGGCAAAAGAAAAAAAACCTTTGTGTACACAAATATTTGCAAATAAAATTCAATGATAATTGGTATTGTAGGTATTTATTATTTATGGATAGCGTGTAACAAATATTTTAATATTCACTTATAAATTAATTGAATGTGGGTATTATATTATTCGAATATTCGTTATATGTAAAAGATAAAAATTTAATTTATATTTTATTAAATTAAATTTAATTAAAATTAATTTATATTTTATTGTGTTAAATTTAATAAAGTAATATTTAAATTTAATTTAATTTATATAATATTTTATATTATTTTTTTGTAATTTTATTTAATTTTATTTTAAACATTTATAAAATATATTTTTTTAATATCCATAAACATCTACATATATTAGTGAATTTTAAAATACCTCTAGGCATTTTTAAATAAATATCTATAAGGATAACGGACTTGTAGTGGATAAATTTTAACCTAACCCGTTACCATTTCTATGCTTTATATTAGAGATAAAATAAAATTTGTTGGTACAAATCCAAAGTGAGAGTTGAATAGATATAGACTTTTGGAAAAAAAAAATATAAAGACGTTTTAAATTAAAATTACTTTGTGCATAAATTAATTGAAACTAATGATACGAAGTTCCTATCTATACGATATGACAATCATAAATAATTAATGTGAAATGTAGGGAGAAAGATAGTGTAAAGTGTTTGTCATTATTAAGCTAGAAAGTCACTTAGACAGTTTTTCAGATAGTTAAAATGTTAATAGAGACTAAGTAATAAATGGAGATCATACACTAAGTGTTGTGACTAATTAAACAGTTTAAGAAATTTTAAATAAAATTTTAGGGAGTCAATAATTTGGTAGATAAAGTCAATATCCAAAAGTTTGTATTCAAATATCTTAAACATGTATGTGACATACCCTTATGTACTTTCATTTTTAGATTCAAAGGTTTCTTCATGTTTTAGTTTACATTTTTTGGTAATTGATCGCCGTGCACTCCTATCTTTTTATATTTTACAAGTTATTAGTTAAATTAGTTATTATATGCGGAAGAAGCCATTGACTTCATATGCTATATTATATGATACACAAATATTATACGTGTATACAATATGATATCCTATACATTTATTTTAAAAATAATAAGATAAAATATGTGATATTTACCTGATGATTGTTGTTGTGTATTCAAATTAAAATAATATTTATTAAATATTGTTAAATTAAATAATTATAAAAAATTATTCTTACAAAAGTAATATTGTCTTATGATTAAATATTTTATTGATAAATATTCGTAAAATATCTTAATATATTATATAAAAAAATGACTTAAATTAAAATAGGTTAAAATATAAACTTTAACTTTAATCTAATCTTATTAAATCGATTTATAAATAGGATTTGTATCTATTTACGTGTTATAAAATAAACTTATTTATAGTGAATGTTAACTGTTAATAAAGTATAATTTATACCCTACTTAGTTGTAATGAAAAACAAATTTGGCTCATGTAGGATATTCTTTTATTTTTTTCGTTTGTCTAATATGGATGAAACCAAAATCAAATAGATAGTAATATCAATTTATAATCTTTATTTTACGAATTGATTTTATGAATATAAATTAAATATTCTTGTGTGTACCTATTAAAGAAAGGAAATAAACCTATAATATGTGATTATTTAACATTTAGTGTGAGATTTGGATGTGTAACATGTGCATAAAATGGAAAATAGTTTGGCGTGTTGGTTTTGACGTTATTAAATTTATTAAGCAAGTGTTTCGTAGTTGATGTATATACGAATAAAATATGAAAACCCCTTTCCCTATAATATAGAAAATGTAATCCAATATTCATATTTGATATTAAAATATTTAATACGACATTTAATTATTCTGTGGAAGTAGTTGGGAACTGGGTAGGTAGATTGAAGTGCTTAAAGAATAATTTTAGAATGTATGACCGTATTTTTGTAACAACAAATCCCAGTTGCCGTACCAACCATTTTTGCACTTTAGATAAATAAGAGCATAATACATATTAGAATTTTACAATAATTTTGTCTAGAAAAAAGCACCGTATCGATAAGCTAGGACACTAAAAACAACGTAACCTCCCATTTTTTACGGGTTCATTTTACCCCTTTCAGGCTTCTCAAATTCTTATTATCCTTTGTATTCCAAAAATTTCTCATTTATCATATCAAAGTTTAATATCATTTTTTTTTATTGTTGACCTCTCACGTTGTATTTGTAATACCATATTTATGATTATCAAAGTTAACAATTTACCTATTATTTCTCTTAACATTAGTCTTATTAACCCAATTGATATTAAGCCTAACATTACACAATCCCTTATTCCATAGTTTTATTTTAAAAGAGTATAAGGTTACAAATGTTGTATCTTCCTTCTTCCTTTGTTATCATACATAAACTATATTTGTAAGTCGATTTTATGGATACTTTGATAAGTTGTCTATTTTATTTTATATATCATTAAATACTTTAGAGGTCATAAGTTTGTTTATTGAGAGACTTGAGTTCATCAATAGAGAGTGTCTTAGAATGTCACTTTTAGGTATTTTAGGATGTCATCCATTTGTCTTTAGAAAAGTTAA